CAACACAATGAATACATGGTGATTTTATAATAAGTTGTTACTAACGGATTTCCTAATCATTAGCAATAAAAACTTATAAAATTCAGATATTCCTATATTCAAGTTTCAAAATAAATTATTTCTCCAAATAATCTAATTGCAAATAAGGAAGAAGATAACATAATAATAAATAAGTAGTTTTTGTTATCAGCTACAGACGAAATATACGTGATTGATTTTTTAACTACATTCAAGAAAACTGTGTATACATTGAGAAATTGTATAATAAAAACATGCATTATATGATTTTTCTTTAAGATAATGCGATAAAGTATGTCTCATTCATGACATAACATAATATAACATTTTTTGCATGTCAAGTATTCACATATTCTATGTGTTTTTGTTATATTTACTTTCTAATATAATGTTTTATTTGATAGACCTACTAATACTTAGAGTATCCAAAATTCACATATGAGGAGGAATACTCTAAGCCAATCGACCCCAAATGCAAATGCAAATGTTACACAGTTTAGATGAACCGCATCCTTCAAATGCGCCACCTGCATAAGGTTCTCTTGGACGTGAGACAGCACCTCCAATTCCTAGACCATGTAGTTGTTTTATTTCACTGTGGAGTGGTCAAGTTTTTGAGCAGTGGGAACCTAATATAGGAATAACTCCTTCACAAAAATCTTGTTCACAAGAGCCTCCTCCACAAGCATCTCAAAACCATTAGGATGTATCACTTCAAGTGTTTTGGTTGTATTTTAGTATTAAACTTATCTGTTGTATTTTGGTATGATATTTGTTGGGTTTCGGAACTTTTCCAAGTTCTTATAAAACTTAGAGCATCATTTTCCATGGTATTGAGTGGGTTTCATGTGATTAAAAAACATTAAAAATAATTAAAAAAATCAATTTTGGGCTTAAAACAGGTGAGAGACGGATCAGTAGGCCGAGACCGCTGAGACGGTTTCTTCGTGGACACGTGGCGTGGTGTAATTGGACGGTTGTCGAAACCCAAAAAAAAATCATCGCGATTTCTTTCTCTCTGGTTGCGATAATGGCGATCTCTCTCTCTGGTTCGAACACAATGAAACAAAAGAAAGAATAATTAGAACGAAGATTAACTGTTTCCGTTCTTCTCTGTTGTAAATCTCAGATCTGATAGTCGCCGAAGACGCCATGTCGTCGCCAATTTTTGATGACTATCGTTTTCAGCTTTGGCTCTTTCTCTCTCTCTGCAATCGGTTGGTATAATCACGAGG